AAAGAGAGAGAGACACACACAGAGGGTGAGACACACACACACAGACAGAGAGAGACACAGAGAAACAGACACACACACATAGCCAGAGGGACAGACAGACAGACAGACAGACAGACAGACAGACAGACAACAGACAGACAGACAGACAGACAGACAGAGGGAGACATACACAGACAGAGGGAGAGATACGGAGAGAGACACAACACATAGACAGAGGGAGAGACACAGAGAGAAAGAGAGACACAGAGAGAGAGAAACACACACACACATAGAGGAAGAGACACAGAGACGCACACACAGACAGAGGGAGAGACACAGAGAGAGAGAGAGACACACACAGACAGAAAGAAACACAGAGAGAGATACACACACAAAGAGAGACAGAGAGAGCGGTACAGAGACAGGGACGCACTGAGAGGGATGCTCTTTGCCCATGTGCCATCTGTCTGTGTACAACACAGCTTATTGCCAGAGTGCAGACCCCTCCCTTCCCACCCCGAAAAGATTATTAATGAAAACAAATCTTCTGTGCAAGTGAAGCACTGGACTGTCAGCTCACAGCGCTGACTGCAGCCCCTGGTGGTGAGGTCGCTTTCAGGGGGAACTGAGAGAGGATATAAACTGTCCATCTCCATCACCTATGCCCAGTCTATCTCTGTCTGTCTCTGTGTCAGTCTGTCTTTGAGTCTGTCTGTCTGCTGTGGTTCTGTGCTGCCCTCAATGCTGTTCTCACTGCAGATGTGTGTTGCACTTTACACTGCACTTTACAGTAATGGCACAAGTGCAAGGATTATTATTATTTAAAAGGAAAACTGTTGAGAAGCGGGGAGGCTGCTTTACTGACTATTGTGAGGTCCTGCAGTGTAGTGGTTGGCACACCTACCTCTTTTTGAAAAGTGCCATGGGAGCTTTAATATCCACCTGAACCAGGCAGATGGGACCTTGGTTTAAAAGTCTCATCTAAAGGCTTTTGAGACCTGTGACGAAACTGGGCTCCCCCAACAATTGGGGTGTCAGCCTGGACTAATGTCTGAAGCTGCTAATGAGGATACTGACTCTTTATCTAACAAAAAAAGTTGCAAATTCTCCCAAATCTCCCAACTTCCAGGAATTGGTGGATCAGTGCTGGTAGAGAACAGGAAAACCTTGAATAGTATCAGTTTGTCATTTCCCATAAGGGACCAGAATATTTGTTTAGAGTGCAACACACACCAGTTGTTACTGCTGGAATGGAGCTATCCTTATAAAAACAACAGAGATAAGACAGGGCTGAAACACAGTTTTACAGGGCCTTGCAGAGGGATAACTGATGCTGAGTATGATTGGAAAACTAAAGGCAGATCATTGCTTTTAGACGGGGTAATATGCTCCTGGGCTTTATAACAAAGGGTCTGAAATGAAAAGCAAGGATATACGTCATGTCATTGAGACGACAACAAATTACATTTGTATAGCACCTTTCATGTCAGGAGGATGTCCCAAGGCTCTGGACAATCAAGGATTTGAACCCAAGTAGGGGGTTGGGATGAGGAGAAGTAGGAAGGTGACTGCAGGTGAAGTCGAAGAGTCTCTTGAGACGTGCCTTGGAGGAGGCAAGGAAGGGAATGTGGGATGGAGTTCCACTGCGTTTCGCCCACTAAATACACAGTCAATCCACTTTACAATATATTCTGTGAATCCCTTTGAGACGTCTCAATGACGTGATAAGGTGCTATATCAAATGCAAGGATTATTATTATTGTTGAGAGCTGAGGAAGTGAGGGGTTGATCTGATTGAAATAATGAGGACAGGTTAGAGAGTGGCTCACTCTCCCCTCAATTCTGCACTGTTCTCTGTATGAACCACCCATGCTCATCCCTCTCACACCCTATAATATCCTTCCTTTTCAATCAAACCTCTGGTTACAAAGCGTCACGTTAACATAGAATCATGGAAATTTACAGCTCAGAAGGAGGCCATTCGGGCCATCGAGTCTGCACTGGCACTCAGAGCAAGCTGTCCATTCAATCCCACATGCCTCTACCCTCTCAAGCCTCTATCCTACATACACCTGTCTACTTTCCTCTTACAACTCACATTCTTTGAAAATCTTGGGTTGGATTTACTTTCCCAACTATAAATGACCATAAAATTGATCATTCACATACTGCCTGATTGCAAGATGTTGCTTTGCGCAAATTGGCTGCCGTGTTCACATAGAAAATATAGTCACTGTAATTTACAGCTAAATCCAGTGAAGCGCTTTGAGATGTGTTCCTGACATGAAAGGTGCTTTACTAAATGCAAGGATTATTATTATTCTAGTATCTTCTAATTCTGTTTTAATACAATTGATGGACCCTGCTTCAGCAATGGTAAGTGATAGAAAATTTCACATTTCCACCACCCTGAGGACATGTTTTCTAATTTCCCATTGAATTCTTATTTGGGGTAATCTTGAATTCTTGCCCTCTCGTGACTGACTCACTAATCTATTAAAGTCTGCCTTTTAGATATCCGCACTAACTGACTCTGATAAGGACAGTGTTTCTCCAAATGCCTGGCTGTGGTAGCACTCTCACTTCTGGGTCAGAAAGTTGTGGTTTCAAGCCCGATGTCTGGACTTGGAATGACATTGTGTAAGCTGACGCTCCAATGCAGGGCTGAGGTTGTATTTCATTGTCGAAGGTGCCGTCCTTCAGATGAGATGTTAAACAGGAATTCCGTCTGTCAGGAGGACATCAGGTGGATGTTAAAGATCCTGTGGCATGATTGGAAAAGAGAAGAGAGTTTCTCTTGCCCGGTGTCCTGACCAACAATCCCCCAAATAAAATTGGTCATTCACTGCATGGCTATTTGTTGGACATTGCTGTATGCAAACTGGCTGGCATGTTTCACCCACAAAATATAGAAACAATCCACTTTACAGTATATTCTGTGAATTGCTTTGAGACGTCTCGATGCTGTGAGAAGGTGCTGCATTAAATGCAAAGTTTATTAGAGTTATTAAATGCTCAGTAATTTCATCCCATGTTATAGACTTCAGTCTCTTACTAATCAACAAAGGGAGACTGACTGGTGGGATCTCACTCTGTGCTGCAGTTGGGTTAAGTCTGTGCTGGAGTTGATAGTCACATAACTTCTGTCTGTTGGAGTTGAGTGTGCACACGGCAGCATCCTGCAAACAGTCATCAAGCGAATGACTTACAGAAACTGTGCCTCAGGCAGTGGGCTGTATTGTTCCACAGTTTAAATTTCCCTAATCTAACATCTAAAGTTTATTAATTCCTGGAACGCTGGAGTGCAGAAAGAGTCTGGAATCCACCCAGCAAATCAGAACTGCTCTATTTATAATAATCGTAATAATAATCCTTGCATTTGATATAGCGCCTTATCCCATCACTGAGGCATTTCAAAGTGCTTCACACAGTATGTTGTAAAGTGGATTGACTGTGTATTTGTGGGCATATTTCGTCACACAAGCAACAAAGTGACATGTCAAAATCCACCTCAAACTATTTTTTTCAGATGCTTTGTCACTCCTGTGCTCTCTCTCTCTCTCTCTCTTTCTCTCTGTGTATTAGATGACAGCCTGGCTCAGTGGTACCACTCTCGTCTCTGAGCAGAGGTTGGGATAAAATGTCCATTACCTCTCTCAAATAAAATCACTCACTTCATGGCTGTTTGTAGACAGCTGCTGCATGCAAATTGACAGCCACATTCACGTACAAAACGCACAATTACTACACTTTACAGTGAATCCTGCGAAGTGCTCTGAGATGTCCTCCTGACATGAAATTACTCAATGAATAACTTATTATTATAGAAATTTAATATCAATAGTAATCCTGAGGCCATGTTGCTGTGAGAGTGTGACTGTCTTGTGTGCAGGACACCAGGAGAGAGGAATTCCCTTCTCTTTTCGAATAGTACCACGAGATCTTTAGTGTCCACCTGAACAGGCAGACGGGACCTTGGTTTAACATCTCATCCAAAGGACGGCACCTCCATCAATGCGGCACCCCCCCCCAGCACTGCATTGGAGTGTCACCTTAGACAAGTCCTGGTGGTGGGGGGGGGGTTGGGGGCGGGCTTGAACCCACTAGTGAGCAATGAGTCTGGCTCACAATACGATACTGAAACGCGACGCAGGACACGTTTGAAAGTTGTAAAGGCGATTGTGTGTTATATTTTGGTATAACTCCACAACCTTAAATGTTCTCTGCCACCCCTCCCCCCCTCTCCCCCTCTCCTCCCCGCCCCTCTTGTTTCAGACAGTCCCTTTCTGTGAGGCCACGTTGCTTGTGAGTGCCATTATACTCGGGCTGACGCGGAGTGGAGCGGTAACCGGAAGCGGAGAGTAAAATGGCCGAGGCGCTGCTGAATCTCTCCGGCTTGCCCGACGATCTTCCCACCAGCGTGAACAAGAGCTGCTCGCTGAACACGGGCTTCCAGTTCTACTACCTGCCCATCATGTACATCTTGGTCTTTGTGACCGGTTTCATCGGCAACAGCGTGGCCATCTGGATGTTTGTTTTCCACATGAAACCCTGGAGCAGTATCACCGTCTACATGTTCAACCTCGCCCTGGCTGACCTCTTCTATGTCTTCTCGTTGCCCGTCCTGATATTCTATTACTTCAACAAGACTGACTGGATCTTCAGCGAGGTGCTGTGCAAACTGCAGAGGTTCATCTTCCACGTGAACCTGTACGGCAGCATCTTGTTCCTTACCTGCATCAGCGTCCATCGCTACACGGGAGTGGTACACCCACTCAAGTCGCTGGGGAGGCTGAAGAAGAAATCGGCCATTGTGGTGTGCGCCTGCGTGTGGCTGATCGTCATGGCCGGCATTGCTCCCATCTTGTACTTCTCCAGGACAGGCCTGAAGAAGAACAGGACCACCACTTGCTTTGACACCACCTCAGCCAACCTGCTCCACAACTATTTCATCTACAGCATGCTGACCACCGTCTTCGGGTTCATCGTCCCCTTTGTCACCATCTTCGTCTGCTACGGTTTCATCGTACGGGCGCTGGTGAGCAACGACATGAAGACTCCTCTGAGGGGCAAGTCCGTCAGGCTTGTCATCATCGTGCTGGCGGTCTTCTCCTTCTCCTACCTTCCGTTCCACGTCATGAAGAACCTCAATCTTCAATCCAGGCTGTACTACCAGGGCCCCGAGTGGTGCGAGTGGAACAGGCGGGTGTATGCTACCTACCAGGTCACCCGAGGCCTGGCCAGCCTCAATAGCTGTGTGGACCCCATCCTGTACTTCCTAGCCGGCGACACCTTCAGGCGGAGGTTTACCACTGCGGCGTCGCGGTTCGTGTCCAGGCGAGGGGACACCGTCGTGCAGTCCCGCAGTGAGGATAATCCCCTCCACGGGGTGTCCGAGCACTGCCAGAATGGGGGGGACACCTCGCTGTGAGCGCACACCACTGAACAGGAAGCACGTGCTTTAGCACGGAGAAACACAGTGGAGCCCACCACCCCCCACCACGCACCCCACCCCACACAGTCGCCAGCTTCTTTCTAAAGCTTAGAGCTTAAAGGAACCAATATTTACGATGCCGAGCATCGCCCAATTTAACAACTGAACTGCAGAGAACTTACCTCCTCCCTTAACTTCCAAACCAACCACAGTATTTTCGTTTTTCTTGTTTACAGGTTTCTTCGTGTGAAAAAGAGGGAGAGCCCTTTCTCTCCTGAGAGAGAGAAAGAAAGAGAGAGAGGGAAGGACTGAGAAAGAAAGAGAGAGACAGAGAGAAAGGGAATCCCATTTCGAACTAAGTTGACAGGATTTTCTTCAGCAAATTTAATTTGCAATATCTCTCTCTTGCGTCATTTGCACCCCGCAACGTTGCAGAGCTCCCATCAGCGCATTTTGTAATGAAATGCAAGAAATGTGAGGCACTGGGCCAGCCTTGGTGTGACCACCGCCCCTTCTCCTGCTGTTAAGGGAGCAGATTGTCTTGATCTTCGCTCAGCAACTCTCTAAGAGGCCACAAGCCAGATTTACTGCTCTGCATGAGAGAAAGTTGGGAGGGAGGTGTGGTGGGGGGGGGTATCGAGGGAGAGAAGAAAAGTATGAATTTTAATCTTACAATCTGATGGTGACTGCAACCAGATTCTGACCATCCTGCCGATACCCAGCTTGGGACAGTTTGCAGCCTAATCTGATTGCAGCGTCCTTCAGGGGAGGTTCCAAAAAAGACAACAACTTGCATTTGTATAGTGCCCCTCACACTGGTAGTGACCCGGAGCGCTTGACAGCAGCGGAGCACGAGGCCGAGCCAGCGGGAGGGGGTAGATGACCGTAGCACGGTCGAAGAGGAAGGTCTTCAGATGCGACCTGCTGATGGGGAATGAGAGGGCAAAGCGGAGGGATAGAGGGAGAGTCTTCAAGCGTTTCGGGGCATAGTGACTGTAAAACTCGGCTGCTGATGGTGGAACGGAGGGCACGAGCGACAAGCAGGAGGCCAGAGCCAATCGAGTGGAGCCAGCGGGTAGTGGGTGCGGGAGAAAGCAGGTCAGAGAGGTAGGGAGGTGCTAGGACAGGGAGGGATTTGAAGACGAGTGCGAGGATATTGAAATTGATCCATTCAGTGATAGGCACTGGTGTGATGGGGGTATGGAGTTTTATGCAGGTGGTGTGGTTTTGGATTATAATCCTGTGAGTTGGGAGGTACAATGGACCTGAAGGTTCTGACATAGGCAGTCCAGAGGAGAGCAACATGGCTGCTCCTCATTGAGAGAGAGTGAGCTCGAGAGAGGGTAAGATGGTAGATCCTGAATGATACTTTCAGATAGCCTAACTGCACATGATGGGGCGGGGGACATGGAGCAGACCACAGTCTGCTGAGGGAGGAGCAAGGTGAGAGGTGAGAAAAATTCAGTGAAGAAAACAGCTTAATGTTGTGATGGTTGGGTGGATGGTAGGGTTGGGGATTCTGGAAAGATGAGATTCACCTGAATCTCTCGTGATTTGGAGCTGGTATGGGAAGTTATGAGAAAAGATTACACCCAGAACATACAATAATCAGTTAGTGTCCAATTGTTTCACATGTTGAGATTGTGAAGTTGGATTGAGATGCCTTTGTGAAGTGTAACACACAGTGTATGGGAATGTCTGTAACCAGAGGCGTTTGGCTGAGCCAGGACTCCGCACTGTGCCACTTGTTCAGATCTGGGTCTGACGTTTCAGTTTCTATTGTACTTAACGTTATATCCATATTTATTTCCATGGAAACCACAACACTTTTTATTTCTTAAAAAAGGATTAATAAAGATTTAATTGAAAGTAGGATATTTTTATACAGAAATAGGGGTGGGGAGACGACGACGATTGTTTGAGATTTAAGCATCAACTTTCATGTCAGGAGGACATCTCAGCAATACACAGCATTGTGCCTGGGAGTCAAGAATGGGAGTCGAGACTGGGAATCTGGGAACTTAACGCTCATAGCAAGACCCAGGTTCTATGGAGTATTGAGTAAAGGGGGAACGTGACTTCAGACAATTAATTTGATGACTCATAGCGCTTGACAACAGTTCTGTAAGGTGGAGTAACTGTATTTTGGATTATTTATTATTGTTGTAAATTCATTTGGGGAATGAATGAAAAGGTTGTGGGTTCAAGTTCCATGTGGGGACGTGGAATCACAGTCTAAGCTGACACTCTAATACAGTGTTGAGAGAATGCTGCATTGTCCCAGATGCTGTTATTTGGCTGAGATGTTAAATTGAGGACCCGTCTGCTTGTTCAGGTGGATGTTAAAGATCTCGGATTCTACCATCTACAATATAATGGGACTCTCCTGTATAATTGATTTGACATGAGAGTGAATGTTAGGTTGATAAATGTGGCAGAAATCTGTGCCAGTGATGTCCCTCACACAACAGGGAGGTGAGCAGTAATTTGAATTTGGGAGTAAATTTGGAGAGGATGAGACATAATAGTAATAATGATAATAATAAATAATACTTCTTGTATTTGAGATAACGTTGTATTACTTCGTCAAGACATCTCAAATAGCTTCACAGGATATCCCGGGAAATGTAGAGACTATATTATGTGGGTTAATGTGACATCTGGTTTGTGCACAGTGATGTCCTACAAACAGCCATGGAGTCAAACATATATTTTGCCCATAAAATATACAGTCAATTCATTTTGATGTATATTCTGTGAAGTGCTTTAAGATGTCTCAAAGACATGATAACAGCGATGCCGGAGCACAAAGTAAACAAGTGAAGCCTAAAATTCAGTGACTTCTTCTTCATTGTCACTGTGGGTCAGGGTTTACATTCGGAACCTCAACAGAGGCAGCAATTTGAAGAACAACTGGGAGGGAAGTCTCTGTCAGTGAGGTTATCAGTTACGTTACCTTTCGCAAAACAATTCAAATCAATTAATACGGTTATTATTATCACCTTCAGCAAGAGAAAACATTCTTACATAGTTCATTGTGGAACAACACGTGCAAAGCACATTGACATGCAAAACATTAGGTGAATACTGTATGTCCAATATGCAAACAACAGCTTTAGATTAGGAATGGTTAGTGATGTTAATTATGTTGAAAAACAGCACTGCAATTGCTCATATTGATCTTAAGCCCATTTTGGGATCCTTTGACGTCATAAGGCTTTGGAGATGTCAGTTTAACACCCAAGATAATAATAATAACCCTTGCATTTGGTACAGCGCCTTCCATGTCAAAGTGATGCCACCTTCCTCTCACTCTCCACATTGCCTCATCCTCCCCACCTGTCACTCTCTGCGCTGCCTCAGGAGTGGGTGAAAAGAGGTGGAGCAGGGATTAAAGGTGTCATATGTACACCTAAAAGTCATTGGGTAATGCAGAGAGGAATAGAGTGAGTCGGGGCGGTTCGGGGGTGGGAGTATAAACATTTGATTGAACCAGTTTGGCTGCTGGAGATTGTAATATGCAAAGGCAATCTCTCGCTCTCAACCGGAATGAGAATTACTTGAATGCTCATCTATTGCCCTCATGCTCTCTTCTCATTGAACTATGATTAAACTGTACCTGAGAGAAAGGTGGGACCCTGCAATTAAAACCATCTGACAACATTCAATAAACTGGTGGAACAGACTGCATAGGCTGAACCTGTCCTGTTTTTCTACTTTCCTGAATATTGGACCAACAGCCTGTTTGACTCCTTCTTTCTCAGAATCTTACGTGATTCTTCCCATCAAACCTCTAACTCAAATAACAAACTAATTCATATTTGTTTACCCAACACAGCCTTCATAATACACTTCATTACCGCAGTCTTGTGTTTGGAATGGAATGTACACTCTCTCCCCGGAGGAGGGACACACCTTGCTTAACTATTTCTGGAAAGTATTAAGCGCAGGTTGGCAAGAACTAATCCTTGGGGACCCCAAAGTGTATGTTGGGGCATTGTGTCATCTAATCACAAAGCTTGCTCTTGAAAGCACTGTCTGTCCAGCTAGGACCAACCTAGCTACGGCTGGCAGGCAGAGTTGACAGGAGCCGAGTCGGAAGAGTCCCTGTCGCCAGTGAATGGTCTGTCCTTCCAAGTCCTGCTCCTGAGCCAGGCTGGCTGTGCGGTCATCAGGAGTGCCTTGAAGTGCCCGGCTCAGGGTCTGGGCTGTGGTCTGTCAGAGGGAGGGCTCAATTCCAACATTCCATACTGAGTTGTCACCTTGGGCCAGGCTCAGGCCAGTGGAGCTCCCACTTACTTCCCCTCCGCCCCAGGAAGATATTCAATCTGATGTTCTGGTGATGGTGACGTGACACTTTATTAGCTGCTGAGTTGTGGCTGGACTGCAGTCTGTACAGGGACTGTTATGTTAGCCAAATGGCTGGACAGGCATGTGAACAAGTGGGGATTGTTATACACTGATTGCTATCTCGCTGAGTGCTGTCAAGGCAAAAGGGCTTTCAAGAGAATGAATCAAGTTTTGAGCCTCACATCCGACTGAGTGTAACATGGCACCATTTTCACAGGCTATTTAAAACCTGCCTTCACATTCAGAGTTTTAGGACAATATTAATAATAATCCTTGCATTTGACATCGCGCCATTCACATGGACAGGAAATCTCAAAACGCTTTGCAGGATTCACTGTAAAGTGTAGTGACTGTGTATTTTTTCCATCGTGAACATGCCCAAACACTTCGCAAAGTGTAGTGACTGGATATTTTGTGGGTGAAACGTAGCAGGCAATTTGCACACAGCAGTCTCCACAAACAGCCATGAAGTAAGTGACCAGTTTTATTTGGGGGGATTTTTGGCCAGAACACCGGGAAAGAGAAACTCAATTTTCTTTTCGAATAGTGCCATGGAATCTTTAACATCCACCTGAACAGGCAGACGGGACCTTGATTTAACATCTCTTCTGAATGATGGCACCTCCAACCACGCAGCACACAATCAGCACAGAACTGTGGTGTTAACCTAATGATTATTTTGTTGCTATTTTACTTATTCACTTATAAACTTGTAAAGTGTGGGGTGTCCTGTGCACATCACTATGAAGCCAGAACACCTGGCCTTCAAGAGAGTTCCAGAGAGTTGGGGAGAGAAAGTCTAAAGGTCCGACCGCTGATAATGGAGTGGGCAACAAGCTTGAGTTAGATGAGTGGAGGAGGGGGAGGGGAAGGGGGCGAGCTGAGCAGTGTGATAGGAAATCACAGAGGTAGGAAGGTTCGAGGGCATGTGAGGAGTAGGTAAGGAGATAGTGGAGCCTGGCGAGGGCAAGGACTGGGTGATGGGTACGTGTACTTCGCCCTGTAACAGCACATTAGCAGAGCTTTCCTGGTTTAACGCTAGTTGATTTTTCGACCGATTGCGAAGGGTTGAAAGTTTGAAGCGCTTTAACTTTCCTCTCTCAATGTTCTGACTGTGCATTTGTGAGCTGCATTGTGCTGCAGTCGGCGATTCAGTACGTGTGTGGCATACCAAGGCTTACACTGAATACAGGGCAATCCATCACATTACACCAGCAACAAACATATCGACAATGAAACGACAAACCAATAAATAATTTTATATTAGTCTCCCAATCATGTACAGACTAAGCTTTCTCTATTCTTTAGCCATCACAGTCCAAACTGACACTCCAATGCAGTGCTGGGGTGATTGCTGCATTTTCAGAGGTGCCGTCCTTCAGATGAGATGTTCAGAGAGACATTAAAGGTCTCATTGTGCTATTGGAAAAGAGAACGGGGAGAGAGAGAGAGGGGGGGTGGGGGGGAAGAGACGGGATGAGAGCAAAATTGACTGATGGAGAAAGAAAGGGAGGGAGAGACAGGCAGAGAGACAGTGAGAGAGACAGAGCGAATAAGGGACATAGAGAGTGTCAAAGAGTGGGCAAGGAAGATAGGTACATGCAGAGAGGGAGAGAGTGAAAGAGACAGAGAAAACAAG